AAGATGACAACTCATAACATTGATATTTTCGGAATAAGTGAATCCCACTGGAAAGGTTCCAGAGTATTTCAGGCAATAATAGCAATAATATTTATTTCTCAGGCCATGCAGAAGAAAGCATTAACGGTTTCGCGATAATAGTGCCCAAGAAACTGCAGAATTTTGTTAGTGGTTATGATGCAGTTATTGACAGGATTATTCACCTCCGTATACAAAGTTCAACATGCATACTGCACATATACAGGTCTACACCCCAACCGCCACGGCAGAAAAGATCATAGCTTGTCAATATTCCCAGCAAAGATATCAATCGCGGTTTGCATTATTGAGCGATGATTACCGGGTAAAAGATTGGAGAGAAGTTAGGACGCCGAAATAGGCTTCATACAGCCGTTGCAGTTGCTCCATATCGCGGTGGAACACAAATATTTTGGGGCAGTATTATGTTCTTTAGAAGGATCCCACTTATTCACATATCGCGGTCGATGACAGGTGCATATTACCTTGAAAATGTTATTATTCATAGAATTATACTTGATGAATGCCAGGCCACATCGCACCAGAGCTGTTCAAGAAGTATTAAAAAACGGAAACATCACAAGATTAGATTGGCCGACTATGTCACCTGACATGAATCCCATCGAACGCGTCTGGGATTATGTATCAAGAGCCATTTTCAATCGGAATAATCCCCCAAGAAATTTCCAAGAACTTATTGTTGCTGTTACAGAGGAATGGGAAAATATCCCTCAGGAAGCAATCAATAATTTGATCATTGCAATGGATAGACGTGTGAATGCGTTGTTAAGAAGTAGATGATCAAATACTGAATATTAATTATGTTGTTGAATTTTTATTTACAGTTGTTCGTTAGAAATTGCATTTTTTTATTTTACAATTTTTTACATCCGGACTGTAATTTTCTTTTTATAACTGATAATTTGTTGAAATTAAATCCATTTTGCCGTTTTTTAGAAGCTTTTAATCTAGATTTAACATCGGGGTTTGCAAGGTTTTACAAAATTTAAAAATGCCCAACTAACTAGGGGGGCGCAAGACTTTTGAATGCGAGTGCAGTTGGGTTTATAAATATTGCCTATGAATTTCTTTAACTTTGTTTCTATGTATCATTTTTAAGTTGTATAATTTTTTCACCCAGATTAGCACCAATTTCACAGAAGTATTCATTCATTTTGTTTGCGATGTACATTTTATCTTCTACTTTTACATCATTTACTTTTCGTAATTTGACTGCTTTATCGTTTTTTCTTTTTTCACCTATTTTGTTATTGATTATTTTCCACAGCTTTTTTGTGTCAGTACAGTTTCATTCTATATTTTCTTTTTCAAATTTAAATTTGGCATCTTTCGGTTGTTCTCCCACATTTGTTTGCTCTGCTTAAAATGTCAACTAGTTTTTGATAATTCGAAAGACCAGTAAAATCCCACGGGAAAATGTAGTAAAAAACTAAATGTTGTCGTAATGGTTGCCGGAATTGTTCAAATCAATATTTCTTAAATAATAGGTACTAATTGCACTTAAACCGCACACTTTGCTGAATCGTTTATTCGTTTGGTTTTCGTTTTAATCAGCAATAAAATAATTCATGTTTGCAGTTGAGGATTGAAGATAGCAAACGTACTAAGCATATGAATCAGAAGAATTAATTCAGTCAATGCAATATAAATTTATTTTTTATTTAAAACATTAAAATTAACTCACACTCTTTTCTCAGCTTGTATCTGGATCAAACAGTCCTTTAAAAAACCCAAAAACCCTTACCCTGTGGAAATTCTGCCTTCGGCATAATAACACCATTGGGCAGAAAATTCAATTGAAAGCAATCCGAACTTTTCTTTCTGAGGGATCTTGAACCCGTGTAATATGTGAACTTCCCAATGAAAAACCAGGCAACGTTTTTTTTTCGGTCTGATTAGGTTCTAAATAAAAAAAATCGCTTCGCGATTTCCGCTAGGGCTTATAAGGTAGGCAAACAAATTAAAACGGAGTTTTATGGTAGACCGACTATTCTAAAAGTCAAATAAATGCCGATCGGAATTTACTTTATAAGCCCTTTCGAGTGTTATCGACAAGCCCGGAGCCAAGATTAACTTTGGTAGCTTGTTTGTTTTGAATCGAAAGAAGACATCAAACATAGAGGAAACTATATAGTTAATGTATTTTATTTCAATGTGTTTATCTGAATAATGTTGCTTTTATGTTTAGGCTTCGATCCTAACGCCAGCGATGCTTTAAAGTTTAATTTTAAGGTCAGCAACTGATGATTATATTTTGCGGGTGGAAAGCCTTATTAAACAGACCATACGAACATTTATGGTGCAGCATTTAAAGTCGTCAGTTTTAAATGATTTATTCATTATTAACGTTCTGTAATGCGGATGGAAATTTTGTTTCCTGCTTTGCATATAACCAGAGAACGTTTTTTGCATAAACCATCAAAATTATAAAATGTTATAGAGTTAGAAAAAATTGTAGTCTCAATGGGATTTTGGGTAGTTGCGATTATTGGATGTTGCTTAGGTTGTTTTTCGAAGTTCTTCTAAAATTTCCGTCAACCCGATAGTTCCCTCATTAAGACAACATTTAGGCCCGAATTCAAGAACGACACTCAACCATCGCTCACACTAAAATCATCCTAATCGTATTCAGAAGCCATTTTCTTAAATGAGTGACTAAACTGTCCCTAACTTTGAATTGAAAACATGCCCGTTAAGTACCATAAGTGAGTGAGAAATTAGTGTGGCTTTTCGTGCCCCCATAGCGTACTGAAGATTTATTTTGGTGCATTTTGACCAATTAAAATCCGGCAGTTTCATCAAGTTGAAAGTTTTCCTGGAGTGATTGGGTGTATAAATGGCACCCACATTGAAATAGCAAGCCAAGGTGGATCAAATGCATGAACAATGAAGCTGTAGCTGGACCGAACTTAAGGATATTGTTATTTATTAGCCAGGTTCTGATCATGATAGCAGAATTTTTTATGGCAGTTCCATGGAGATAGTGCTTATGTCCAGAATAGGCATATGTATACTTCAGAAACATCGAAAAACCCGAAAAGAGGAGCCGCGCAGCGATATAATAACATATATTTTAACAAGGAATGTTATTCAAGGCGCTTTTGGTGTACGGAAAGGTCGTTTTAAACGTTTAGAAAAGTGCTTGGAAGTATCATTACGACATACCACCAGAATTGTTGCTGCTACAGCGGTGGTTCTTAATATTGCCATTGACACCAGCCAGAAAATCGATGAAAGTATAACTATAGAGCAAACTGAAAGGTTTAATTGGGGGTATTAAACCCCCAATTCTTTTTAAATTTGTTTATTTATCTCTAGTATTTTTGCTTTCACTCCCTCCTGTTTCAGAATTTCTATGGCAATGGATATACGAACATTCTGCCATTCTGAAATTGTGTTATCATGATCAGAACCTGGCCAATAAATAACAATATCCTTAAGTTCGGTCCAGCTACAGCTTCATTGTTCATGCATTTGATTTGACTCATTTATACATCCGATCACTCCAGGAAAACTTGCAACTTGATGAAACTGCCGGATTTTTATTTGGTCAAAATGCACCAAAATAAATCTTGAGTACGCTATGAGGGGACGAAAAGTCACACTAATTTCTCAATCACTTATGGTACTTAACGCGCATGTCTTCAATTCAAACTTAGGGACAGTTTAGTCACTCATTTAAGAAAATGGTTTCTGAATACGATTAGGATGAGATGAGTCTGATTTTAGTGTGAGTGATGGTTGAGTGTCGTTCTTGAATTCGGGCCTGAGAGTTGGATTTGAAATGAGTAGCGTATGAGTGGCGTTCTTGAATTCGGGCCTTAGTCCGTAAATGTCTTCTATTATGCCCTCCTCGTAATTACTTGTGCACATTATTAAGTATTATTTGTAGTGTTTACAGTTGCAATTTTTCTCAAATTGTTAGGTCTCATTTGTTATTGTTGACATTTTAGGCTTTAAATTGGAAAAATAATTAATTGAAAGCTGAATGAACAGGAAAATAAGAATAAAATGAAGCATGTCAGGTTTAATAAAGAAGAAAGGGATATCGTTGAAGAGATAAACAGAAATAGAATTGGAAGAAGATAATAAACGTCGACACGAAGAAGATAATAGGAAATGTGAGGGGATTGACAAAAAGCTTTCAGCTTGAATATACTGAAAATTACGGTAAAAGAAACGAAAGGAGTAGTGGAAGTAAGAGTAAGCGAGGGATTTATGTTCGCATATAACGTAAACGAGAACAAATTAATTTACAAATTCACAATATAAAAATTCTTATGGGAACACATGAAAAAACCGGACAGATTTTTCTTTTTTTTAAATCAACTAAAGATGCAAATAACTGTTTTAAACACAAAAGACAAGAATCGGCACGAATCAGACTAATTACATTTAAAAAAAAAATTATTTCCGATATTTAACCGACATTTTTTCTTGAAACAACGCAAAAGGTGAAAAGCCCAAGAGTAATACAAGCAGTTAAATCATGGGAAATAGGAGACATGTAAATCATCCAAAGTAAAGAAGGCAAAAGAAAGATAAAAACGGACGCACAGGAAAGACGATGGAGGAAAACAGTGAATGCAATAACGAGCTTTTCTCTGCGATCAGAAAGGCAGATAATTTTTTCAAAAATTAAATTGGGCTACGGTCATAAAACTCAACTGATAAACTGACTGAGAGACTTGTGGCGGAGAAAATTTTGGCACTCATGAGAAATGGCAGCAAATAAATCAAAATGTGGAAAATTGTGAAAAGAGTACCCATGCTTTCATGAGACAAAAGTTGAGTGAAAGACGCGCAACTATGTTAACAACATTAATAAATAATAAATACAATAAAAAGTAAAGAAAAAAATTACTCGCAGCAGCAAAAACAATTTCGAAATAAAATGCCATGTTGATAAATTCTCAAAAATGATTGATGCTGATTAAAAATCGAAACTTTGTCTACAAATAGCGTAGTCTAAAAACACAAACAAATTACAAAGTCTGGAAACTCGTACAACACAGATGTTATCACTTGGCAAGTTAGAAAAGAAATAAATGCTAAACTCCAGCTTCAAAAATTCCAAAAATCCAAGGGCCGGATGACTGCAAATCTGCAATTTCTTGGGTGTCGAACACACGCCTCCCTACAAAATATCTTAAAAAGAACTTTCTCACTTTGCTAGTTAAATAGATAAATAAATATTAAACTCCGGCAGCTAAAGGCATCCTCGTAAGCAAAATGCAATTTTAAAAATTTCTCAAAAATTTACTAATGATTCAAAATCGAAATTTTTGGCCTGACCACTAATTGAAGCGAACTTGCGCCACAAATGTATTCCGTACTCATTTTATGACTGCAATTTATAGAGAAAATTAATGCTAAAATCCGACTCGCAAAAACCCCCACAAAAACCAGATGCGCTTTTGAAAAATTCTTGAAAATTGCCTGATGATGACTGAAAATCTCCGGCCAGCAAAAACAACCATAGAAAGTTCATACTTTGATCAGTAAACATCGTGCTACGCATCGCGCTCTGCAGAATCACAGTGTTGGAAATCGAAGCCAAAACTGTCTACAAGACTTTACCATTCTTGGTTTGCTGAAAGTTCTTGAACTACGCTGCTTCTAGTGTGCTTTTCAACACGCTGATACAGCTGGTGCTGAAATTTCTCGTTTGAGTTGTGTGTTACAGGACATGGAGGAGTCCAAAGCAGTACTGGCAGAGGAGGTGCTGAGCCGCTTTGAGGCGCTCGAGGCGAAACTGGAAAGCACTATGATGGAGGTTGCATTTTGGAGGGAAAGGGCGGTAAAGGGCGGTAAAGGCGGAAATGCTGTTAGCCGCCAAGAACTCCAAAGTGCAGGAGACGATGGAAGAGGACAAAATGGAGGAGAGCGCAGCCTCCACCAGCTGCAGCGACAATGAAACGGTTGAGGGACCCGCTGAGGTGGCAGCTCCCTCAATTGCCGCCAAGGAGGGCAGGGGCTCGGTGACGGACTCCTCAGACGGACTCCTCAGACGGCGAGGGCTATCAAAGCTCAAATCGCCGTCGAAGGAGGAAGCGAGCCAGGCCTGTGTCCTCCAGTGAGGACAACTCAA